AATCACTTTTGAAAAGAGAAATATTGATTCATCTTTTTCTTTAGGTTCTGCTTTATAGTTCTCTGTTTTTGTTAGCTTTTCTCTGCTTCAACTGCAATCTATCCCTCTCAGCAACCTCAAAATAAATACAACCTATGATGTGGTCTTTCATTTATAAGTTTTGTAAAGTACCCTTATGTATGTCATTATCTTAATATCATCATACTCCCAATACTGTAAGTCTATTAAGGAGAATTTGCCTACTTGAAACTTTGAAGTAGAGGAAGTACTTCATGAATAGTGTACAAGTTAAAGAATTTTTTCAGTAACTGATAGAACTTGCCATGAATACCCATGCATATATATTGGAAATTTAGGATGTAGAATGGTGAGAAGAATTTGAAAGTCCTCAGAGACATGTTCAGAAGAGAAGTGAGACAAGTGGAGCATCTAACACAGCTTTTGGTTAGAAAGAAAGAACCAAATATTCAGCACCATAATGGAAGTAGACTCAATTTTCTAAATGCTCAATACCATGCTATCCAGTCAGACAGAAGGTCATGACAGAAGAAACTGACCCAGTTGAATAACTGTCAACTGGGAAGGGATTAAATGTGGTTCTGGAATTTTGGCTGAATGAGCCCCCGTGAACCACAGGACCCCACTTCTGAACATGGAACTAGATATCCCTCATCTCAAGCCAGGATGAGACAAAAATGGGTTTTCTGGAAGAGTTAACATGTATTTCTTACAGTCAGTTGATTTATTTTGGATGCAGGACAGATGTCAGCCTGAATAGAGAGGTCTTCAGTGGATTGTGGTACCTTTGTCTTAGACAAAAGAGGCTTGGTAGGTATGGGGAATGAGAGCTAGGAAGTCATACCTGTGACCACACCTGTGCTCAGGACCTGTGCTCCAGGATCGTTATTACCATATGGCCTCAGATTGAATTTTCTGTGAGATCATGTTTTAGCCCAGTGATAGACCAGTGACACCACCTATAGGTGACACTCATATCCCAAAAGACAAGGTGATTTTAATTACACTGAAAGAGAGTACCTTACCCTGTCTAAGGTGACATTTTTGTCTTTTCAATTGAAATGTCAGAATTATACCATTTTAGGTGTCAAAAGAACAATATAAAATGAGAAAAAAGACACCAAGAATATGAATTTTGTTCTGACTTGTTAATACTCTATTCAGATACTTGAATTATGCAAATTCAATTCTTGGTGATAATTAACGAAGTTCCAGAATAAGACAATTCAAAGAGAATAAAAAGATAATTTGAGTGATTTCATTTCATTGTGTAACTCTGGCTAAATGGTAGAAATGCACTGATTTTCCTGAGTGCTTGAATGAGTCTGTATTTCATCACAAGTTACTAGTTTACTGTTATAGAAGAGGCCTATTACTAAAAGATTAGAGAGCAGCAAATTATCTCCTCATGTTCTGTGTACTAAAGATTCCTGTTGGGCTCTATCTTTTCGGTTTTTCATAATCAGTTTCTCCTTTTTGCTTTCTAGAACTATCTGGTGCTGTGGGCTTGTTAGTTTCTGCCTAGGCTGTAGCAATGGTGTTGTAGAGATTATTTCTGGAGTTACATTGTCCTGGGTTCAAATTTCAGCTCAGCCAGTCTTACAATCCATCTAAGTGTCCTAGAGCTGCCCTAACAAAGTACCACAAATGAGGTAGCTTAAAAGAATAGAATCTTTCTCATAGTTCTAAAGGCTGGAGGTCTAAATTCAATGTGTCTGCAGACCCATACCCCTTTGAGACTCTGGGTTCAATCCTTCCTCCCCTCTTTTAGCTTCTGGTGGTGGCCTAACATCCTTGATATCCTTGCCTTGTAGCTACATAACTCCAAACTCTGCTTCTCTCTTCACACATCATTTTCCTCTTATTATAAGTACATAGTCATGTTGGATAAGGGCCCATCCTTTACAACATCATCTTAACTTGTTCACATTTGCAAAAACCCAAATTCCAAATAGGGTCCCATTCGCTTATCTGTGGGTGGGTACACAATTCAACCCATACACTTCCTGTGTGAACTTGGGCAAGCGACTTACTTTCTGTGATCTATCAGAAGATTAACATGCGACCTCCTACAGCTATGAGGAGTGTGTAAAGCAACATATGAAAAGTCCCTTGTATTCCCTTCAGTGCTCAAGAAGCATTACTTCCCAACCCCCAAACACCCAGCTCAATTTCTTGGCTTCCCATCATTTATTTGTACTTGCTCCATACAAAAGCAATCTAGCAGACACCATGGAAGGTACAAGGATGACCCCCTGCCCTAGGGAAGCTCACATACTTTGGGGACAGATAGGAATTAAACTACTATTTGTGATACAATGTAGAATTTGTGTAGCATCCTGAGAAGCATGAGTGCTCATGCACACACACACACACACACACACACACACAGGTAACTCTGAGAGAGGGGAGAACTACTCACTAAGTGGTTTGCCAAGGGCCTCACAGTAAATTTGCCACACAGTTGGAACCTGAAGCTATGTCTAGATCCCCAACCCAGTTTCTTTCCTATTCTAAAACATTGTACAATTGTATTGTTTGTCATCTTTGAACCACTCAAACACTGTGAAGCAAAATCCATGTTTGCTCACTGATGCACTGATGTCATACACTGGCATCTTTGGGGGATGCCCATAAACTTTTACACATTCATCTTATTGCCTCTGCCCAATTTACTCCCATACCCCAACCCTCCACACACACAATACTCCATTAGACCCATTTGCTTTCTCTGTTCTACCCTTGACATACATCTTTCTCTTACAGCAATCAAAATATGGCCAGTAAAAAAAAATTGCTACCAACTTCAGTGCCTGCTGGGTAGGAAACCACATTCTTGCCTATTATTTTTTAAATTACTTACTACTTCTATCATCCACAGATCATTTCAGTCCATTCAGTGTGATCAAAATGATGAGCAGGATTTTTTTATCCTTGCCACTGGCACTACAATTTCATGTTCAGTTGCTGTTACTTGCTGTCTTTACTCCTTCCCATACCCTGAATATGACATACAAGCAAAAATCTATACATGAGAAGGAAGGCTTGTTGCTGATGTTGATATGCTTATTTTGTCTGAGTCAAGGTTAGGAAGATTATGACAATTATTAATCTAAGACAAATAATATATAGATAGTCATCAATTTATGATGCTTTGACTTAAAATTTTCAACTTTACAATGGTGCCACAGCAATACACATTCAGGAGAAACCTAACTTCAGATTTTGAATTTTCATCTTTCGCCAGGCTATTGATAGGTCGAATACTCTCTTGTGATGCTGAGCAGCAGTAATAAGTCTCAGCTCCCAGTCAGCTATGTGAGCATGAGGGTAAAAAACTGATACCCTACAGTGTATTCATTGTTAGATGATTTTGCCCAACTGTAGTTCAAGTAAGTTTTGTGTGTGTGTGTGTGCTACAACTTCTTTTTTATTTTCATTTTGTTTTTTGTTGTCTTATTACAGTTGTCCCAATTTTCCCCTGTTGCTGTCCCCAGCCCAGCCCACCCCACCCCTACAGCCAATCCCCACCATGTTGTCCATGTTCTGAGCACCTTTAAGGTAGACTGAGCTAGGCTATGGTATTTGATAGGTTAGGTGTATTATACACATTTTCAACTTCACATACTTTCAGTTTATGGTGGGTTTGTTGGAACACAACCTCATCGTAAGTGGAAGAGCATCTGTACTGAGTTTTCAGTGACAAAGTGACAATGCTAAGGATGTAAGAAAGAAAATAAACGTCTACTATTGAAAAACTCAAATAGGTATGTTTTCACAGTCTGTGTTATAGCCAGAGCCATAGTGACTGCGGCACTGGCTCTCATACAGTGCTCCTCATTTATCTACAGCACTTACAGAAATAAGAAATGTGTGTGAACCTGCTGTGGTTGTCAGTGGGACAGCTCTCAGTCCAATTCTCTCAGTGCTTGGTCAGAGGGAGGGTGTAAAAAACGATGTGTAGGCAATGTACTCCCTTCCTTCATTGCCCTAAGGACACACACAAAAACTCATTTAGAAGCTGCCAAATTTGCTTCTGCAAACTTTAGATGAAATGCTAAGATATTCTATAGAAAAGAACACAAAACTAGGTGATTTCACTCTTAGCATTGAGTTCCCTTAGCAGCCCAACATGAAAATCATACACACAGTTGAACTGGATGGAATTACACAGACCTTTACTTGCTTCTTCTCTCCTCTTTCTCTTCCACTTCCTCCTTCTCCCCTCATCCTCTTCTTCCCTCCTCTTCTCCCTGTTTCTCTTCCTCATCCTCCTCCTTCTCCTAAAGCAGTTGTACTTATATGTCAGGTTTAATACCATAAGTGCAAAGAAAATTTTTACATAGATTTTTCAATTAGGTGATATAATTTTGAAATGAATTTTTAAATAAATTCATAGAAAACTATTTTGGCTAGGGGATGAAAGATCATAATTTAAAGGAAATTTCCAAAACAAAATAAAATACCCTTCTGGAAGATGTAAAACACTCAATTATCTAATACATGGGAAGAAAGCTAGTCTGACTCTCACTTAACTAATAATTCTGAGTGTTTTGATATTCCTTTATTAGAGATTCTAACTATTTTGAGGTTCACTCTCAAATAGGAATAAAAATGCTGGAATTTCTTAAAATATATATATTTTAAAAATCATTCTAAATATTTAAGTGAAAACCAACAGATTAATTTTCCTTCCCTTCAAAGTTTGTTTTGCTACCTGATTTGCATCACTGTATGATAGTGTTAAACATTCATTAAAGGATTCACAATATATTTAATTTAAAAGTCACTTTCCTTGTAAAAGATGTGTTGTTTCACAGTCACCTATTAAAGGCACCATTGATGGAGTATGTATAGACACGTGGAATAAAGTAAAACAGGGAAAAATTTAAGAAACAGTGTAACAAAGACAACTCTGTTGCGTATAATCATTGGCTTGATGGCTTCAGTCACTGCCTTCACATCCCTGCTGCTTTTCACAGGTATAAGCCCTTGGTGGAGACACTCCCCAGCGAGAAGAAGAAACTGTCTGCTGAGGAGAAATGCCGACTTGTTCTCCAGCAGTGTAAATTACAAGGCTGGCAGGTTAGTGACCTACAGGCTACTAACATACCAGTTAGGGTTTTAAATAAGTGAGCTGAGTCATTGTGGGGAGCCACTGGAGTCTCACTGGCAAAAACAAATTGCTTTGATGTGTTTGACCAGGCGAGACACTAAGTGTATTCCCTGGAAGCACATCAGTCTTTCTGATTTCCGGGTTTCAGCAGCCCACAGCAAACACACAGAGGAAGCCAACAGGGCCCTGCACTGCACAGCACAGAAGTTCGTAAAGCCCCAATCAGTGTGTCCACGTTGCAGATTTAAACATTGTCAGCAAAGCTTTTGGAAGGATCCGAAAGGCAGCAGAAGCCAGAGGAACCAAACTGTGAGGACAGTGTTGATTTCGTTGGCTCTTAGCTGGGACCTTACGAGTGTTCTTTAGACCTCGCCTCCCTTGGCTCCTCAAGGCTTATTCAGGTTTTTTTTTTTTTTTTTCTGTTTCTTACCTACCACATACTGAAAATGTCACTGTCCTTTCAGCCTCATTTAATGGCAAAATCTTCATAATTGGAAACATTTAATTATGCCCTGTGGTCCTTTTGGTTGGCAGAACCCAGGGGCCCACTGGAGGAATAGCTGGACTTCCAGAAGGAGGAAGTAACATGAAACAGAATAACACAGGAAATACTCCCCAGAGACAGTAGGACCCTGTGGAGTTTGTTTATTACCTTAAACAACTGTGTGCCACCTTACTAGGGTAAGGAAGAGGAGATTTACAACGTAAAGGAATCAAGAAGTTACCATAAGAGCAATAATGGGAAACGAAGTCCAATGCACCAGAAATTATTGGGCGTTTCTAGCTATAAAATAACTGTAAGTGCTTCAGTGGCAAAGTGCGCAGTGAATACTAAATAGTTTTGGCAAAACATAACAATTAATGGGAAGTTGATATAAATCTCATTTTAAAAATGATAGGTAGAGAAGGAAATTCCTGGCTTTTCTACTATATTGAGCATTTTTCTTTTAAGTAGTAAATGGATGTTGAATTTTTTTAAAAAATGATAAGGAAAACTTCTATAGGTGAAAAATACATGGCAATCAATGGGGCCCCAAACAAAGTCTTCACTTCAGAAATGGAGTGAGCAGAGGGTTCAGAACTGCTGACTGTGTCCGAAAGTGGCTCGATCGAGGCGAACAGCCGGAGACTACGGACTTGTCACCAGCATACTCGTTCCTCTGTGCCAAAGAACTAAGGGCCTAGAATTGTAGCACTGATGAGTAATGATTTGGTTGTCTTGTGCTACCCAAACTTATTTCTTTATTATCTTTTTTCTTAATTTCCTTCTTTTTAATAAAACTAATAATGGAGTTGAACTTTAAATAACAGTGTGAAATAGGAGGTTTATACAGTTCTAGTAGTCATGGATGCGCATCCTGTCAAAAGATTGGATCAAAAAGAAAGAGAAAGGAAAAATTACTAACAGAATAATGTAAACTAGTCACTCTGGAGTCAGTGGGAGCCATATATAGAATTGTTTATCAAGCCAGTAGATTAATTTAAGTCATTTCAACCGAATCATTGCTGGAGTTCTTAAGTATTTGGATAATAGTGGTTCATAAATAAGTAATGCTAAGATATTTTGTGTGTGTTTTTTTTTACTTTAAAGAATTCTCACAGATAAGAATAATTTAAAAAAATAATATTGAGAAAGAAAGTTGAGTTGTAGAAGAAAGGTAAAAAAGTCTGGAATAATTCCTCCACTAAGAAAGTGACCACAATAACTGACTAGCCATCAGTTCTCTGATACATCTGAGAGAGAGAGAGAAAAAGGAGGTAGGGAGGGAGGGAGAAAGGGAGGGACAAATAAAGAGACAGAGAGAAAGAAACATTAATGTGAGAAACACATGCCGCAACTGGGTATCAAACATACAGCCTAGGTATATGCCTTGACTGGGAATGGAACCTCCAACCTTTTGCTGTATGGTATGATTTCTGAGCAAATAAACCAACAGGCTAGGTCTAAGAATTTTTTAAAATTTATTTTTGACCTGGAAAGTTGGATTTCTGTTTGAAAAACTAAGTATTTGTTGAAATGTGTTGATAGTTGCAGGAAGAGTTACTATCACTCTCTCCTGGGTGGTTGATCCAGACAAGGGTAAATAGGAGCTGTTTGAAGCAATGGTAAGATCCTAATGGATGGTTATTGTATCTGTAGCATTATTCCCAAATTGCTAAGAGTTATAATGTATGTTTCTATGAAGCAGGCAGTGTTCATCCTTTGGTTCTGAATGGCTAACATAAGTTGTTATTCTTTTCCATACATTTAAAAGCAATGCTAGAAGATAGAAATCAGAGTTTTCTTTTGCTATGTGAACCTTAAAGAGTGTTAGCTAGAAATTCAATTCTCTTTACTAAAACTATGACTCTTGTATTATTGCTCTGATGAGTCTTGAAGATCTCAGGCAATTTCTTCATGTTTCCTTGATATTAATCAGATTCTATTCAGCAAAGCCTCTGAATCAGGGGTGTCCAAACTTTTGGCATCTCTGGGCCACAGTAGAAGAAGAAGAGCTGTCTTAGGCCACACATTAAACATACAAACATTAAGGACTGATGAGCAAAAGAAAAAAGTTTGAAGTAAATTTATGATTTTGTGTTGGGCCACATTCACAGCCATTCTGGGCAGCCAGTTGGACACCCCTATGGCATCAGTATAGGATTCTAAATCCATAGTTCTCACACTTTTGTACATTGTAGCAATTGTGTAAGTGGTGGTGAACACCACCATTTCCTTGTTTCAGGTGAGCATAGAGACATCTTACCTACAGTGCTACTGTGTTTATTTACTCATCTGTGTGTGCTATTTATTCTTCGCATAGTTGTGGCTTTAGAGTCAGTATGTGAGGCAGTGGGGGAAAGGCAATGTTATTTTAATATTTCATAAATAATGATTCATCTCTTCTATAAAAACTATTAAAATTTTATTTTTATTTATTTGATTTAAGTCTAATAACATCTCTGAGTAGAAAAAAAGGAAATTAGGCAGGGTGAGCAGTAATGCCCTCATTTTAAATGTGAGGGAATAGAATCTTAGAAATCAGCACACTGATCAAAATATTAAGTGTAGTTAATATTTAGTTTCAGTAGAAAGGCCACTTTGCTGACACTGGCATCTAGGTCTTCCCATGCTCTGTTCTTTCCACTGCATTTAACTTGATCTATATCTTTTAATGTAACCATCCAAAGTCCTTTTATTCAGGTTACAGAACTTGAAAGACATAGACCATGCATCACAATTTGAGCTTTGATCAAAGGCACTTACATATTCCTTTATCAGTCTAAGCAGATTGCTCCTTGTAGTTAGTATATTTTTAATGTTCATAACTCACTTGGTAGATGAAGGGAAGAAAAGCTGGCTGCTTTCTGTTGCAGGCCAATTCTGATCAGAATCATTCTTACCCAAACTGTCAGCCAAATGACCCCTAAATAGTACAGCACAGCACTCTTCGACTCTAATTTCTAGCTGCATCTTGGAAAGATAAAGGAGACAAAGTAAAGGAAGGGAAGATGGAGAAAGAGGAGAACTAGAACCAAGTTAAGTGTTTGATTTTATAAAGTGTTTGATATCAATTCCAGACCTGAGAGTTGAGACTTCGATGCCCTTCAGGCCATCCACAAGAAATTCCAGGGTTGAGAGAAGATTCATGGGTGGTGCTGATTGACAGACAAGTCATAGGATAATATTGGTTCCAAATCACTACTTCAGCAAAGACAGTTTGAGAACAATCTTAATTAAACTATTTTGGTAAATCCATCAATTTTGCAGTATGCTAAGCTTTGCTCACTATCATATTTTAAATTTTCACCTTCCTCCAATTCCCTTTTAGCTTTTGTTCCCTTTTTTCTGCTCCATTCTCATTTCTTAGATAGCACACCTTCAACAAAATCATTGATTGTCTCTTGCACTAGCATGAAAACTCCATCAAAAAGGATTATTATCTGTCAGTTTACTGCTGTGTGTCCAACAAAGGAGACAGAGAAAGATGTATGGTAGATATTTGTTCATATGTGCTGGGCCAATAAATGAGTCTTTGTCAATAAAAAATTTTTTTCTAAATGATACTAAAATTTTTTCTAAATGATACTAAAATTTTTTTCTAAATGATACTAAAATTTTTTCTAAATGATAAATAAATTTCATATGGATACATACACTATAGGAACTTTTAAAATCTATAATAATTCACAACGAAAACCTAACACTGATAATATTTAGGGAATCATTTTGAGATCATACCTAAATGGAATTTTGGCTTATATTTATGTTTAGTAAATACTTGTATTCATTGCATTACTTCTGTAATTAAAAAAAGATTTTTAAAATTTATAACTGCTATGTAAATACAATTTTAGTAGAATATTGTACAGGCTCAATTTTCAGTATTTGTGAAAAAAAAACTGCAAATCACACTGACTGTGTTTTGCTCTAAAGCATTTTGCTTTCAAATAACAGTTAACCTTTTGTATATTGTACACCATTAGCTCTCACTTCTCAAAGGAATCTTTAGTCATCTTTTACATGATCTGACTGGTAACCACAAATTTTGGCAAAGTCACTGATGTTACTATTACCTTAACATACTCAACACTGCTGCTTTAACATACAATGTTTTTATTTTGAAGAAAAGTGAAGGAAAATCAGGATGTATTGTTGGCCGGAAAGAGTCCTATGTGGTGGTATTTTCTTGTTCATGTTTATGAAATGGCTTATTTTAAAAAATTCGGTGCACTGGTCAGAGCTTTGTCCTTATTTCAAGACAGAATTTAAATTGTTCAAAAAGGAATGGCAGGTTCTCAAAATGAATTGAGTAGACTCTACATGACTAACTTCCAGTACTGTTTTCTTTCTCACCAGATATATTTTTCTTTGTGAAACAAAGAATCAGTGGATTACTTCATTTGTCAGGAAAAAATTTAAATAGTTTGAATTAAGCCATTGTTTGAAAACAAGTAAAATTAAACCATTAGTTATTAACATTCTGCT